AAGAACTCATGTCTGGAGCTAGGTGTGAATGTTTCAACTGACCACCTTGATTAGCATTTGATGGCCTGGCTGTTGTTTGGTGTGGCTTGTTAGTGCCTGGGTGGGTGGGACAAAGGACTCTTGTCTGCTGGAGCTAGGTGTGAATGTTTCAACTGACCATCTTGATTAGCATGTGATGGCCTGGCTGTTGTTTGGTGTGGCTTGTTAGTGCCTGGGTGGGTGGGACAAACGACTCTTGTCTGCTGGAGCTAGGTGTGAATGTTTCAACTGACCACCTTTTTGAGAGGTGATTAGATGTCTGGGTTGTTGTTTGGTGTGGCTTGTTAGTGCCTGGGTGGGTGGGACAAAGGACTCTTGTCTGCTGGAGCTAGGTGTGAATGTTTCAACTGACCACCTTGATTAGCATGTGATGGCCTGGCTGTTGTTTGGTGTGGCTTGTTAGTGCCTGGGTGGGTGGGACAAAGGACTCTTGTCTGCTGGAGCTAGGTGTGAATGTTTCAACTGACCACCTTGATTAGCATTTGATGGCCTGGCTGTTGTTTTGTGTGGCTTGTTAGTGCCTGGAGGGAAGGGATCCCATGTCTAATCTACATCTAATTTTATACTGACCATCTTGATTAGCATGTGATGGCCTGGCTGTTGTTTGGTGTGGCTTGTTAGTGCCTGGGTGGGTGGGACAAACGACTCTTGTCTGCTGGAGCTAGGTGTGAATGTTTCAACTGACCACCTTTTTGAGAGGTGATTAGATGTCTGGGTTGTTGTAGGTTTTTTCTGGCTATATGGCCATGTTCTAGAGGCATTCTCTCCTGACGTTTCGCCTGCATCTATGGCAAGCATCCTCAGAGGTAGTGAGGTCTGTTGGAACTAGGAAAAAGGGTTTACATATCTGTGGAATGACCAGGGTGAGACAAAGGACTCTTGTCTGCTGGAGCTAGGTGTGAATGTTTCAACTGACCACCTTGATTAGCATTTGATTGCCTGGCAGTGCCTGGAGCAATCTTTTTTGAGAGGTGATTAGATGTCCTTGTTTGTTTCCTCTCATGCCAATCTGCTACCGAGCTCAATTCAAGGTGCTGGCGTTGGCCTATAAAGCCTTAAATGGTTCCGGCCCAAGATACCTATCTGATCGCATCTCTGCCTATGAACCCACCAGGACTTTGAGATCTTCCGGGGAGGCCCTGCTCTCGATCCCGCCTGCTTCTCAAGCACGGCTGGCGGGGACGAGAGATAGGGCCTTCTCGGTGGTGGCTCCTCAGCTGTGGAACGCCCTTCCTACAGACATTAGACTAGCACCATCTCTAATGGTATTCCGCAAAAAGGTGAAGACCTGGCTGTATTCGAATAATTAGTGCAATGATTGGTTAATGAACACTGGAATGGAACAATGGATGACAAATCTGGAACATGTTTTTGATGACGAGATGACAGTGAATGGGTATTGTAGTAACTGTTTATTAATTGTGTAATGTGTTAGGTTGTTAACTGTTTCTATACTGTAGCACTGAATATTTGCTGTTCGTATTTGTTGTGAACCGCTGTGAGTCGCCTTCGGGCTGAGAACAGCGGTATATAAGTAAGGTAAATAAATAAATAACAATGGGTGGGCTCCTCTACACATTTTTAGATCTTTGGTCACGCTGAACTCAAAAAAAGAGCGTGGGTGGGTGGGCTCCTCTTCACTTCACTTAGGTGATCCCTCGCTTTCCGAGGATGATTGTCTTCCAATATTCTTGTGGGTCCGTATGTGGCTGTGGAGCCCTATTCTTGCTCTGCATCTTCTTCCGCAGTGAGGGCATTGGTTTCCAGGTGGAAGGCGGTCTCGGCCAGGGTTGGCTTGACGCGCCTTCCTCTTGGCACGTTTCTCTTTTTCACCCTCCACTCGTGCCTCCTCAAATTCTGCAGCACTGCTGGTCACAGCTGACCTCCAGCTGGAGCGGTCAAGGGCCAGGGCTTCCCAGTTCTCAGTGTCTATGCCAGAGTTTTTAAGGTTGGCTTTGAGCCCATCTTTAAATCTCTTTTCCTGTCCTCCAACATTCCATTTTCCATTCTTGATTTCGGAGTAGAGCAACTGCTTTGGGAGACGGTGGTCGGGCATCCGGACAATGTGGCCGGTCCAGCGGAGTTGATGGGGGAGGAGCATCGCTTCAATGCTGGTGGTCTTTCTTTCTTCCAGCATGCTGACATTTGTCCGCCTGTCTTCCCAAGAGATTTGCAGGATTTTCCAGAGGCAGCACTGATGGAATCGTTCCAGGAGTTGCATGTGACGTCTGTAGACAGTCCACGTTTCACAGGCGTATAGCAGGGTTGGGAGGACAATAGCTTTATAAACAAGCACCTTGGTATCCCTATGGATGTCCTGGTCTTCAAACACTCTCTGCTTCATTCGGAAAAATGCTGCACTTGCAGAGCTCAGGCGGTGTTGTATTTCGGTGTCGATGTTGACTTTGGTAAGAAGTGCAAGGACTGGCAATTTGACCATAGGATTGGAACAACGGAAATGATATCGGATTGTGGGTTTGACGATGAGACGACTCGGAATTGGCTTTTGTAGTAATGTTGATGTTTTGATGAGTTGTTTTTTGATAATGATGAATTGTGGATTTTTTACACTATGTCTTGTATTTTGCACCTGTTTTTCTATGTTGTACACCGCAATGAGTCGCCCTTGGGCTGAGAATTGCGGTATATAAGCGTAGTAAATAAATAAATAAAATAATTGCTCTCCACCTTTTTGGTGGAGAGGTGGCTGCCAAGGTAGCGGAAATGATCAACATTTTCTAATGTTACACCATTAAGCTGTATTGTTTATTAATTGTGTAATGTGTTAGGTTGTTAACTGTTTTATACTGTAGCACTGAATTTTTGCTGTTCGTATTTGTTGTGAACCACTGTGAGTCGCCTTCGGGCTGAGAACAGCGGTATATAAGTAAGGTAAATAAATAAATAAATAAATATTCCATGGCCCGTTAAATTACCCCACTTCTTGTTGTAGCATACCACACAACTGCATTGGAAGACCTCGAGATTCCAAGGAGTGGGTCCGTACGTGACTATGGAGCCCTATTCTTGATCTGCATCGTCTCCTGCAGTGAGGGCATTGATTTCCAGGTGGAAGGCGGTCCCGGTCAGGGTTGGCTTGATGCGCCTTCCTCTTGGCACATTTCTTTCTTTCGCCCTCCATTCGTGCCTCTTCAAATTCTACAGCACTGCTGGTCACAGCTGACCTCCAGCTGGAGCGCTCAAGGCCAGGGCTTCCCAGTTCTCAGTGTCTATGCCAGAGTTTTTAAGGTTGCTTTGAGCCCATCTTTAAATCTCTTTTATCTGTCCACCAACATTCCATTTTCCATTCTTGAGTTCAGAGTAGAGTAACTGCTTTGGGAGACTGTGATCGGGAATTCGGACAATGTGGTCAGTCCAACAGAGTTGATGGTGGAGGACCATCACTTCATTGCTGGTGGTCTTTGTTTCTTCCAGCACATTGAAGGAGAAAGACTGGGAATGATTATTATGAAGTAGGAAAAGCAACTTAAATGGACTAGAAATAGACCTGAGTTAAGCTTGGTTCCTGAAGCCCACCTTCTGCCCATCAACTAGGTTCTCTCTGATGATTGACTGGCATTTTTGCTCCATACCAGAGCTGGAATATGGATTCTGGAAAAGAGAGGCAAGCGTGGCTCCTAGAAGCTGAAGCCCACCCCTGGTTTGCCTAAGGTCAAGATACTGAAGATGTTGCTCCTTGTGACTTGAGAAATGCACTTCTGAATAACCATACGAAGCACTGAGCTACAAGTATTTCTTTCATTTATGTACCAACCTGAAGATGAGACTTGACATTTTAATAGTCTCTCTATCTTTTTCCAAGGAGTATGCATGGGTTGATAATAGCACAGAAGTAGAGTTTATTTTTTGTCCCTATTTATTTATTTATTTATTTACTTCATTTGTTGACCGCCGCTCTCAGCCCTGGGGCGACTCGCGGCGGTGTACAACATGTAAAAACAATCTACAAAAACATACAATATAACAACAACCGAATTACACATTAATCTAAATCACACTAATAAATCCGCGCCATCACAACATGGAATCATAGCCAATCTCATAGTCCATAGTCCGTTCCAAATGTCATTACCAGATTCGTGTGGCTCAATAAATGCCTTCTCGAATAGCCAGGTCTTTAGGCTCTTACGAAAAGCCATCAGGGAGGGCGCCTGTCTGATGTTAACAGGGAGGGCGTTCCACAGCCGGGGGGCCACCACTGAGAAGGCCCTCTCTCTCGTCCCCGCCAGACGCGCCTGTGAGGCAGGCGGAATCGAGAGAAGGGCCTCCCCAGACGATCTCAAGGTCCTCGTGGGCTCATAGGCCAAGATGCGGTCCGAGAGGTATTTTGGGCCGGAACCGTTTAGGGCTTTGTAGGATAACACCAGCACCTTAAATTGGGCCCGGTAGCAAATTGGCAGCCAGTGGAGCTGGGACAACAAGGGCGTTGTATGCTCCCTGCGTCCCGCTCCCGTTAGTAACATGGCTGCCGCGCGCTGGACTAGCTGAAGCTTCCGGGCCGTCTTCAAGGGCAGCCCCACGTAGAGAGCGTTGCAGTAGTCAAGGCGGGATGTGACCAGAGCGTGTACCACCGTGGCCAAGTCAGACTTCCCAAGATACGGGCGCAGCTGGCGCACGAGCCTAAGCTGTGCAAATGCTCCCCTGGTCACCCCTGAAACCTGGGGATCCAGGCTCAAAGATGAATCCAGGGTCACACCCAAGCTGCGAACCTGCGCCTTCAAGGGGAGTGAAGGCGCAGGTTCTATGTCTTTTCCTAAATCAGAATGCTTACCCAAAGACAGTCCACACTGAACTCAAAAAAAGAGCGTGGGTGGGTGGGCTCCTCTATACATTTTTAGATCTTTGTTCACGCTGAACTGCAACAGAGCTGGTGGCGCCTGCGCAGATGCGTCCTGCGGGAAGCGCCCGCCCCTTGCGAGCCAGTGGGCGCCTAGTGCGCATGCGCCAGTGTTGAAGGGGGAGGGGGGAATCAAAATGGCGGCCGCGGGCGGCCCTGAGGCGTCGTCTTCGTCGTCGGGGGCCAAAACAACAGCGGCGGAGCCTGAAGCGGGAGCGGCTTCGTCCTCGTCGTCGCCGCCGGTGGTGGTGCAGCGGGAGCCGGTGTACAACTGGCAGGCTACGAAGCGGTCTCTGCGGGAGCGCTTCGCCTTCCTCTTCGCCAACGAGCTGCTGAGCGACGTGCGCTTCGTGGTGGGCAAGGCCGGGCCGCGCGGACTGGCAGGGGTAGGGGCAGGGGCGCCCGGCCCGGTCCAGCAGCGCATCCCCACACACCGCTTCGTCCTGGCCGCCGGCAGCGCCGTCTTCGACGCCATGTTCAACAGGGGGATGGCCACCACCTCCGCCGAGATCGAGCTGCCCGACGTCGAGCCCGCCGCCTTCCTCGCCCTCCTCAGGTCAGGCACCTCCCTCCCTCCCTCCCTCCAGGGGTTTTGGACTCCAACTCCCACAATTCCTAGCAGCCTCAGGCCCCTTCCTTTTCCCCCTCAGCCGCTTAAGCCCTTGCTCCCTGGGCCTAAAGCAGGCATGGGCAGTTAGGAATTGTGGGAGTTGAAGTCCCAAACCCCTGGAGGGCCAAAGTTTGCCCATACCTCATTGAGACTCTATAAGACATTCCTAGAAAGACTTGGGCCCTCCCTCCAGGGGTTTTGGACTTCGACTCCCACAATTCCTAACTGCTAGGAATTGTGGGAGTTGAAGTCCAAAACTCCTGGAGGGCCAAAGTTTGGCCTGCTAGAAGAGCAAGTGGTTTGGGAAAGGAGACCACTATTCCCAGTTCAGAGGCTAAATCTCTTTCCCCCCCCCTCTTTCGGCATCTACACAAGAGGTTTTCGTGTGGCTGTGTCGTTCTCATATATATACAAATACATAAACACATACATATACACAAATAAATACACACACAAAACACACATACACAGATTGGGCCACAGCAACTTGTGGAAGGGAACAGCTATTGTGTGTATCTATCTATCTATCTATCTATCTATCTATACATCTACACACTAGTATATCAATCAAAGTATCCCAGACAGATGGCCACCCATATATATAATTGTGTATTGTTATGTCGTGTTTTGAGGCCTTGGCCTTTGTAAGCCGCATCGAGTCCTTCGGGAGATGCGAGCGGGGTACAAATAAAGTTAATAATATATATATATCTGTCAGGGATATTTTGATTGATATTCTAGTAGATAGATAGATAGATAGATAGATAGATAGATAGATAGATACACACTAGCTGTTCCCTTCCAGAAGTTGCTGTGGCCCAGTCTGTGCATATGTGTTTTGTGTGTGTATATATTTATTTATTTATGTGTATGTATGTATGTATGTGTGTGCGCGTGTGCGTGTGCGTGCGTGTATATATATATATACACGCACACGCGCACACACATACATACATACATACACATAAATAAATAAATATATACACACACAAAACACATATGCACAGACTGGGCCACAGCAACTTCTGGAAGGGAACAGCTAGTGTGTATGTATCTATCTATCTATCTATCTATCTACTAGAATATCAATCAAAGTATCCCTGACAGATGGCCACCCATATATATATACACACACAACATACAAATACATACACACAAATATATACACAAACACATATACACAGACTGGGCCACAGACTAGCTTGGAATTGTGGGAGTTGAAGTCCCAAACCCCTGGAGGGCCAAAGTTTGCCATACATGGTTGAGACTCTATAAGATCATTCCTAGAAGGCACTTGGGCCTCCTCCCACAAAACACATATCCAAACGACTGGGCCCTACACAAACCGTTGTGGAAGGCGAACCAGCTAGTGTGTGTGTGTGTGTGTGTGTGTATATATATATATACACACACACACACACACTAGTATATCAATTAAAGTATCCCTGACAGATGGCCACCCATATATACACACACACACACATACATACACACACACATATACACAGACTGGGCCACAGCAACTTGTGGAAGGGAACAGCTAGTGTGTGTATCTTATCTATATGTATATATACACTAGTATATCGATCAAAGTATCCCTGACAGATGGCCACCCATATATATACACACACACACACAAATATACACACACACATATACACAGACTGGGCCACAGCAACTTGTGGAAGGGAACAGCTAGTGTGTGTATCTTATCTATATGTATATATACACTAGTATATCGATCAAAGTATCCCTGACAGATGGCCACCCATATACACACACACACACACACATACACACAAATATATACACACACAAAACACATATACACAGACTGGGCCACAGCAACTTGTGGAAGGGAACAGCTAGTGTGTGTGTCTATCTATCTGACTATACACTAGAATATCAATCAAAGTCTCCCTGACAGATGGCCACCCATACACACACGTACATACATACATACATATATACAAACAAATATATACACAAAACACATATACACAGACTGGGCCACAGCAGCTTGTGGAAGGGAACAGCTAGTGTGTGTGTGTATCTATCTATCCACTAGTATATCAATCAAAGTATCCCTGACAGGTGGCCACCCATATATATATAATATATGTATACATAACATACACACATACATATACACAAATATATACACACACAAAACACATATACACAGACTGTGGAAGGGAACAGCAAGTGTGCGTGGGTGGCCATCTGTCAGGGGTACTTTGATTGTGCTTTTCCTGCATTGCAGGGGGTTGGATTAGATGGCCCATGTGGTCTCTTCCAACTCTTATTTTTTGGTCCTATATATATTGATAGCAGTATGTATCAATATATCAATATCTACCTGTATATATCTAAATCAATATAGCTATATCTATCTATATATCTATATTTTTGTCAATATCTATACCTCTCTCTCTCTCTATATATATATATATATACACACACACACAAACACACATATATCAGTATATTGATATGGATATATTTATCAATCAATATATCACCATCAATGTATCTATAGAAGCCCTCAGTGGTGCAGTGGGTTAAACTCTTGTGCTGGCAGGACTGAAGACTTACAGGTCAGAGGTTCGAATCCAGGGAGACTGCGGATGAGCTCTCTCTGTCAGCTCCAGCTCCCCATGCAGGGACATGAGAGAAGCCTCCCACAAAGGATGGTAAAGCATCAAAACATCCTGGCATCCCCTGGGCATGCAGTTTCATCCTGGCAACTTGCAGTTTCTCAAGTGGCTCCTGTATAGATATATAGATTGTGGGAGTTGAAGTCCAAAACACCTGGAGGACCCCAGTTACATCTATCCCTATCTATATACATCTATTAATATATATCGTATATAGCTGTATGTATATGTGTATATAACACACACACATATAGATACACTAGATGTCTCCTGCCATGCATTGCTTTGCCCCAGTCTGTGAATATGTGTTTTGTGTATGTATATATTTGTATATATGTATATATATGTGGTTTTGTGCATGTGTTGTAATGTATTTTTTGGGTTTTGGCATTTTTAAATCTCTTCTGCTGTGCTTTTCAATGTTTTTATGAGTGGTGGTCACTCATTGGCCTGATAGGTTTATTGTGTCCAAATTTGGTGTCAATTTGCCTAGTGGTTTTTGAGTTATGTTAATCCCACAAATGAACATTACATTTTTATTTATATAGATACACACACACAGGCAGTCGCCAGATTATGAACAAGATTGGTTTTGTAGGTTTTGGTCTTCAGTTGAATTTGCATGTAAATCGGAACAGGTATATTTTTAAGTGTAACTCCAGCCATATTTATCTATCTCTCTAACTTTGGATGCCATAGGGAAGGATTAACACCCCTGTGGAGTTCATTTTGCTGTCTGTGCCCATGTTCAGAAGATTTCACCTCACTTTCTGTCCCACTGAGAACTGGATTTTGAAAAATGTGGCTTGTTGTGGAAACAAGGATTGGTGATAAAGCTTCAGTGGAGACTGGTATGGAATCCTGGGATTTGTGATTTGGTTAAGCACCAGCACTCTTTGGCAAGAGAAGGCAAAAGACCTTATAAAACTACAACACTCATGATTCCATAGCATTGAGCCCATGGTAGTTAAAGTGTGTCAATCTGCATTAATTTTATAGCATAGATGTAGCCAAAGCTGTTAATTGATTCATATAAGCAACTTGTACAACAGTACATACGTTAATATAATTATATTCCACCTGTTACCCAAATATTTCATATTGATAGTTTTTGATTTTAAAAGTGCTGTGTGTGTGTGTTTGTGTGTGGTGTAGGAACCGATCCATATTGTTTCCATGTTGGTTGTTGCCTTTGATTTTTCCTTAGGAACATATCTGTTTTGTTAACTGTTCTGAAATTTGCATCTGTGCTAGTGAAGTTGCTCTGAACAAGATTTGTGGAAATGTAGCATTTCCTGTTTGCTTCTTCACTTAAATACAGGACCTGACCTTTTCATGTTCAAAAAGAGCAGGCTTTTTGTGCATCCTCAAAATCGCTCAACATCTGCAGTAGGCTTGTCGCGCATCTTGAGAATTGGCATTTCTCAAGAACAAAAGATACCGGGAGTCTTGAAAGTGAGTGCTATTTGTGTTGAATCAGAAGGAGGTTTAGCAGAGCTTGTTCTCAGGGTTGATTTGCTTCTTCTACAGAAGTTTCATGAATGAGAGGTATTTACCAAAATGAACTTGAAACTATTAGTGGATTGTTGACTTAAATGAAAAGGAATGCTCTTTGTGGGAGGGAAGTGCTCAGCCCATCCAGTTTTGCTATTTAAGTAAAAGCGGTGTTGTCACGATCTGATAACCTTCCTAACTTGACCTTCTTTGATTTCTAGGTTTTTGTACTCAGACGAAGTTCAGATTGGTCCTGAAACAGTGATGACCACTCTGTACACCGCTAAGAAGTATGCTGTCCCAGCTCTAGAAGCCCACTGTGTAGAATTTCTCACTAAGCACCTCCGGGCAGATAATGCTTTTATGCTACTCACTCAGGTAATTGTCTTTGTGCTGACTTGTTACAGATACAGAGGTGTCCTTGGCCAGCTAATTTAGAGTACAGCCGGCAGAAGTTTAATACAAAAATATAACAGAGAAATTGTAGATAATGCCAGGAAAATTGAAAATGTTACACGACCTTTAAAATTAAAATGGCTTCTTTGGTTGTTTTTTTTTAAATAGATGGCACTTGGTAAACTTGGACTATTAAATTGGGAGAGGGCACGGATTCTCCCTACAAAGGTCCTCTCAATTTGCTAAATGAGCCATAGCCTTCAGGCCTTTCTGCTGCATGTACATATCTGACTTTATCAATTGCCTTCAATTTAGATCAAACCATACTGCAGTGGTTCTCAACCTGGGATCCCCAGATGTTTTTGGCCTTCAACTCCCAGAGGTCCTAACAGCTGGTAAACTGGCTGGGATTTCTGGGAGTTGTGGGCCAAAAACATCTGGGGACCCCAGGTTGAGAACCACTGCCATACTGTATAGTAAACTTTGTATTTGTATCAGTAAACTTGTTTAGAAATTTATATGATCCTAATATTGGATGTTTTTGAGATGATTAAGTGAGGTCCCTTCCACTTAGCTGATTAAAATCCCATATTATCTGCTTTGAACTGGAATACAGTGGTCCCTCGCTACTTCGCAGTTAGCTTTTTGCGGACTCACTGTTTCGCGGTTTTTCGTTATGAAGCACAACTATCAACATTGATTGGTTCTTCCATCTAATCAGGCAAATTCACTGCCAGCAAGGGCTGGTTTGATAAATTTCAGAAGCGCTGTGAACTTAAGAGCATTTATCTGTATGGAGAGGTTTCCTCTGTGGATAAAGCCGGAGCCGAGGATTACGTGAACAACATGTTCAAAGGGGGTTATGTAGTGTATAAGTGTGTGGGGAGAGTTTAAGGTAAAGGTTTTCCCCTGACTTGGAAGTCCAGTCGTGTCCGACTCTGGGGTGTGGTGCTCATCTCCATTTCTAAGCTGAAGAGCCGGCGTTGTCCATAGACAACTCCAAAGTCACATGGCCTGCATGGCGCGCCCTTCCCGCCGGAGCGCTACCTATTGTTCTACTCACGTTTGCATGTTTTCGAACTGCTAGGTTGGCAGAACCTGAGGCTGACAGCGGAAGCTCACACCGCTCCCCGGATTCAAACCTGTGACCTTTCGGTCAACAAGCTCAGCAGCTCAGTGCTTTAACCCCCTGCGCCACCGGGGGCTCTTATAAAGTTTATAAAGACTTAAAATGGTGTGTAACTACTAAAATAATATATAAATATTAAAATAAATATAGCATCCCTACTTCACGGATTTTCACTTTTTGCGGGTGGTTCTGGAACGTAACCCACGATAAGGCAGGGAACACTGTATATAACAGTGTGGACTCAGAACCCAGGTCAAAGCAGATATTGTGGGATTTTCTGCCTTAATATTCTGTGTTATGTGGCTGTGTGGAAGGGCCTGGAAAGTCAAGTTGCACAAGTCAAGTCAATAAGCTCCACTAGACTTTGTGGGGATTTCTTCTTAGCAAGTGTTCTTACAGTCCAATGATTATAAAGATGTACCATTTATTTTCGTGAAGAGTCTGATAGCATGCTGTTGGATTTGGTGATCTTTCCTTGCCCAGTAACAGATTTTTTTTTCTGCCTTATGAATGGCCAGGTATCCCCAGAAGGATCAATATTAACCGGAGCTAAGCCTATGTAAAATAACGATGTGTCACATTTCTGAAAAAGCTTGTAAATTCATATTCAAACTTTGGGTTAAATGGAAACCTTGAATAGCAATTCTGCCAACATGAATAACGGTTAAGGAGCATTCGTGGAGGAATTTTTTATGTGCAGAATTTCTTCATGTTAAAATAACTGGCATGAACTTGATCTTATATCAGTGAAACCAATGTTCATTATTCATTATGGTTGTTGAAATAGGCTTTTATTAGCTGTCAGGCCTACACTGTACAATACTGAATTATCCCATCAATTTTTAATATATTTTTATAGGCTCGTTTATTTGATGAACCACAGCTGGCTAGTCTCTGTCTTGACACAATAGACAAAAGTACAATAGATGCAATAAGTGCAGAAGGTTTCACAGATATAGATATAGGTAAGTAGCCCATAATATTATTCCTTTTGAGGGGCAAGTGCAGGGATTGGGAAGCTATGGCCTTCCACATGTTGAGAGGAGGCATGATCATCATGTTTAAATATTTAAAAGGCTGTCATAGGGAAGGGAGGAGCAGGGTTGTTTTCTGCTGCCCTGGGGACTAGGACTTAATGGAGCCATGGGTTCAAATTACAGGAAAGGAGATTCTACCTGAATATTTAGAAGAATTTCCTTACCATGAAAGCTATTCAACAATGGAACTCTTTGCCTCGGAGTCTAGTAGAAGCTCCTTCCTTGGAGACTTATAAACAGAGGGTGGATGATGATGATGATGATGATAAAGTTTATTTATATCCCGCCCCCTCTCCCCATGGGACACAGGGCAGCTTACAACATAAATAACACAATAAGTGCAATACAGTACAGAAAATGAATAGGTATTTGTTGGGGGTACTTTGATTATGCTTTGCCTGCATGTCAGAAGGGAGTTGGGTTAGATGGCCCATGTGGTCTCGTCGAACTCTACGACTGTTATGAGTCTATATTGTTGGTCTATATGTCCTTTCCTGGCCATAGGACATGCTAGTTGGGATGGAAGGAAGTTGGGAATCGGACAACATCTAGATAACAATGGATTTACCATCCTGGATTTAACTGAATGTTTAACTAATATTACTTCTTTCAGTTGTCCTTGTATATTTTATTTATTTATTTGTTTATTTGCTGTATTTGTATACTGCCTTTCTCAGCCTGTCGGCAAAAAACGGTGCACATTTTCACATGTAAAGCCCATTTCTAAGAATTGCTCTAACATGTTTCAATTAACAAGTTAGCTAAGTAAGTAATTATTAATAGGTTATTATGCATAATATGCAAATGCATATATTATTCAGTCAGTGGGAATTGTTTTCATTGAACTGAACACTAGGTAAATGTGTGTATAAGTCTCCAGCGAATTTCAAACTCAGTTAACAAAGGATAATTAGTACAAAAGTAGTTCTGAATAAGAGAATAATAACTAAAACAGCAGTTCTTAGTTACTGCTTCACATGTAACAACAGCAAATATTATTTTACTGATAAATAGTGCAGATTCTGCCTTTGTAGTGAAAGGAAAAGAAGTTAAACCTGGTTCAACTAGAATCTAACTTCCCTTCTTTGGGTCAGACGCATAGTAAACTTATGGAGAAATCTTTAAAATCCTTTAAATTGCAAGTTACTGCATTGAGTTTTTCCCCTTTCAGATACTTTGTGTGCAGTATTAGAAAGAGACACACTCAGTATACGCGAGAGCAGACTTTTTGGAGCAGTTGTTCGCTGGGCTGAAGCCGAATGCCAAAGGCAGCAGTTAGCAGTCACATCTACAAATAAGCAGAAAGTTCTTGGCAAAGCCCTGTCCTTAATCCGTTTTCCGCTGATGACAATTGAAGAATTTGCAGCAGGTGAGCAGAAGATTTGCATTATTGGTGTTAAAAAATTGAAAGTTTGCGCATCACTCTCAGACACAATGGCCAGAGTGTGGAAAAGAAAGCTGTTTATTAGATGTAACCAATGTATTTGTTTAGCATTAAGTTCATTGATGGCGTTTAAGAAGACACAATATAATGGCAGCACTTTTGAGTCTTTCTAAAAGAGCCTGGCCTTTCTTCAGTACTACAGTGTTCTTGCAGCCTGATCTTATTTGTGCATGTTTCGTTGGAAGTAGAGTTCACTGGTTCTAGCATGTTTGTGTAAGATTCACCATTGCTGTGTGTTACGTTGATGGCAAATAAAATGGTGGATTTAGCTCTGTGATTTTTAAAATTCACCACAGTACTCTTCCCCAGTCAGGTACCATTGGGATTTATGGAGCTACAATTCCCATTCATAGCCTTAGACATCAGGAAGGCACCAGGTTGGGAATATTACTATAGCACATTTATCCATTTCAGATAAGATCTTAGTTCTCAATAATGAGAAGCATCCCCATACTTTTACAAACACTTGTCTTTTTTAACTCATACCTTGTTTGCCATCGAAAATGAGAAGATATGGCTTCTTGTATGATTGCTTACAATAAAAGATTTTCTCCTACAGTAAGTATTGACATGTCAGATAACTTACCAGAGAAGATCTAAGGCATTATCTAGGGAGTATTACATTTTTAACAAAACAAACAAACAGAAAAAAATGAAGTAATACACAAAACGCCATGTAATACAACTGTCTGGTTGCTCCTGACACGATAAATAAAAAAATCTAGGGAGTGGGTTGTTTAATTCGATATGATTACTATCATACACTAAAGTACCATTTAAATCTGGCTTGGTTCTGAGTGGATTGCACTGAAGAATTTAGTCATGTCATGGATTAAAAACTGGAGAAGTAAAGCAGCTGAGGTTTCTGTGAATTTTCCGGGCTGTCTGGCCATGTTCCAGAAGCATTCTCTCCTGATGTTTGCCCACTTCTATGGCAGGCATCCTCAGGTTGGGAGATCTGGTGGAAACTAGGCAAGTGAGGTTTATATGTTTGTGGAATGTCCAGGGTGGAAGAAAGGACTCTTGGCTGGTTGCTGTTTTGGGGAATCCTTTGTTGGGAGGCATTAGCTGGCTCTGATTGATTCTTGTCTGGAATTCCCCTACTTTTTTGAGTGTTGCTCTTTAAGAGTTTTTTAATACTGGTAGCCAGATTTTGTTCATTTTCATGGTTTCCTGTATAGAAATGCTGGACCACTCTAACCACTACCTTGTCAGACTACACAGAGAAGCCATTGACATCCACAAGCATGTAGACAATTTCAACAAAAAGGAGGACACCATGAAAATGAACAAAATCTGGCTACCAGTATTAAATCAGGAGAGTAAATAAAGAGCAACACCCAAAAACAGGGGAATTACAGACAAGAATCAACCAGTATTAAAAAGCTTTAGAAACAGAAATAAAGAACAATACTCTCAACAAAGGATCCCACAGGCAGCAGTCAGCCAGGCTTTGAAGCTGCAAGGCCATTAAATGCTAATCAAGGTGGCCATTTGCAACATTCACACTTATCTCAAGCAGACAAGAGTTATTTCTCCCACCCTGGACCTAGATTCCAACAGACACTTCAACCTCTGAGGGTACCTGCCATAGATGTGGGTGAAACATCAGGAGAGAATGCTTCTGGAACATGGCCATACAGCCTGGAAAACTCACAGCAACCCAGTGATTCCGGCCATGAAAGCCTTCGACAACAAAAAGCAGCTGACTTCAAGTTTACTATGATTCTCACTTACGCTGTCTATGTTTAATAACAATGCTTAGCTGTTTAAGTATATTTAAGTATAAGTTTATATTTTATTGTATGTTAGTTTATATTCATTTCATTTTATATGTTGTGTCTTGACATTTCACATTTAATGTGCTGTATTCTAGTTGAAAACCACATATAAAAATCTTTAAAACTGAACTGGTTTAATGTATTTGATAGTTCAATTTGTTAAATGGCATTGTATGTCTATGGGCGCATTACGCAATCTTGTTAAACCAGTACAATTGTTGTTTTTTCATCTTGTTCAATCCTTTTCCAAGGATAAACTTACATATGTATTTATGGATGATATAGTATGAAAAACACATCATCCGAAAAGATAAAATCCTAGTTGCCAGTAGTGTTAGTAGTTCTCAAATCTAATCTATGTGGTCTGTTATAAATTTGCTAAGCAAACCTGTAAATAGCCCAGCCTTGGCATGAAACTTCTTTGAGTCAGTGCTTTAAAAAATACTGCTTGTTAACATAAATTAACAGTAAATGTAATCTTCAAACTACTTGTCTTGGAGCATTGAAATTTATAACCATTTAAAACATGATTTCTTAATGGTTTTCTCTTGAAGGTTGTAGGGTTTTGTCCTTTTTTACTTTCCAGGGTAATTAATTGAACAACTGCAGTCTAGCAGTGGTGTGAATGGACGTGAGTAGGCCTGTAACTGACAGTTACTTCAGAAACATTTCTCAGTTGGCTGCATAGTACAGAATACGCTCAGCTCAGTTGCGTTGCCTTTCTTTCCAGGTCCTGCTCAGTCTGGAATTTTGTCAGATCGGGAAGTAGTAAATCTCTTTCTGCATTTTACAGTCAACCCTAAGCCTAGAGTTGACTATATTGACCGACCAAGATGCTGTCTTCGCGGAAAGGAATGCAGCATCAATAGATTCCAACAAGTGGAGAGTCGCTGGGGTTACAGTGGAACGAGTGACCGGATCAGGTAAGGTTATGTTCCACCATAAACTTATTAAAATGTGCATACATTTAAAGTAGTCACGATAAAGACAGTGCCCATGCTAAAGACAAGATCATCTTGTCATTTAAAGGATTGGTATGTCTTTTTTCTATATAACTCCATCTGCTTTATCACAGTCATATAATTTGGTGTGATTTCTAGTGTGACCACATACCCATACACACAAAAAAGACTGCAATACATTTTAGCCTGAACCTGTCAACAACTTAGGGGGCTGGTCTGTGCTTTGTTTTGCTTTCCTCTAAAATGCATTTTTGTGAACAGCATTGGCTCAATCTTGATAATAATGTTAAGGTTGGCATCCCGAGCATTTTCTTTCAAGGACAGGATGAGCTGGCCAATTTCAAATGTTTTGAGAAAACTGCTGATCTATCTCGTATAGATTTTTTTTTGTCTTACATAGGACCAAGTGTGAAACAAAATTGAAAGATTATAAAGTAAAGGTTTCCCCTTGACGTTAAGTCTAGTCCAGTCCGATTCTGGGCGGTGGTGCTCATCTTCCATTCTAAGCCAAAGAGCCGGCATTGTCCATAGAAACCTCCAAGGTCAGGTGGCCGCCATGACTGCATGAAGCACCATTACCTTCATGCAGAAGTGGTAACTATTGATCTACTCACATTTGCATGTTTCCGAACTGCTAGGTTGGCAGGACCTGGGCTAACATTAGGAAATGTGCCACTATAATCTAAAAATTATAGATCTTTAATAACAACAACAATAATAATAATAAACTTTATTTATACCCTGCCACCATCTCCCCAAAGGGGACTCAGGGCAGCTTACATGAGGCGAAGTGCAAGAGTACATTACAACAAAATAAAACCAAAATAACAAAACATTATTATTGTGTTTGACCCTCAAATAAAGGTAAGTTAGGGCACAGCCTTCTTCTGGAAATCTTGTATTGTTTGAAGCTGGTGAGAAGATATTCCCCTGGATAAATTCCATTTGACAACATTTTGGTATATATTCTCATAAGAATGTAAAGAAACAAATTATAGATTAAAGAAGGATAGGTTTCTTTTTAGAAAATTGTTTACCGTTTTCTCTTCAAAAGAATGTACTCAGTTCTGTTCTCTTCCTTCTTTCAAGGTTCACAGTCAATAGAAGAATTTCAATTGTGGGATTTGGATTATATGGGTCTATTCATGGACCCACCGATTACCAAGTTAATATCCAGGTAATACTGCTTTCTAAGGATTTAATGAGTGGCACATTTCATTTAACTGACTTGTCCAAGGATATTCTGCTCAGTGTTCATCATTTAGAAATGATATAGCAGCAGGATGCTGAGGCTGGTCTTCTTCTGTCATCGTTCTGTGGGACAGGTGTTTCAGTCAGGATTGCCAGTCCTCAGATTCTGTAACATATTAAGCTGGGTGGGTCCTTTCCACCTTTATTTCACTACTTTTCTACCAGATGTCAGGTAGGTAAAGGTAAAGGTGTCCCCTGACATTAAGTCAGTCATGTCTGACTCTGAGCAGTGATGCTCATCTCCATGTCTAAGCCGAAGAGCCGACATCTGTAGACACTTCTGTGGTCATGTGACCGGCATGACCACAAGCAGTATTATTTATTTATTTATTTACAAAATTTATATGCCACCCTTCTCACCCTGAAGGGAACTCAGAGCAGCTTACAAGACATATATACATACAATACATTATATTATTAGCATAGTACAATATCAATATTATACATTTCTATATTGTAATATTATTAGTAATATTATATGTAATATAAAATATATAATTATAATACCATATTATTATTAGTAATAATAACGCGCTACGCCCGTCATCATTGGTAAAGAGTCTGGGAATCCTTTTGGACCCTCTGTTGACGATGGAGGGCCAGGTATCTGCCGCTAGCAGAACCGCCTTCTTTCACCTGCGGCAGGCTAGACGGCTGGCCCCCTCCCTGCCCAGGGACGACCTAGCTACAGTGATCCAGGCTACGGTCATCTCAAGACTGGACTACTGTAACGGCCTCTACATTGGCCTTCCTCTGTCGGTGATCCAGAAGCTCAAGTTGGTACAAAATGCAGCTGCTCGGCTTCTTGCGATAGCTCAGATGAGATGCCACATCACCCCAATCTTACTACAGCTGCATTGGTCACCCATTGAGCACCGGATCACTTTCAAAGTGATGGTACTTACCTTTAAGGCCTTGCATGGTCTGGGGCCGATTTACCTGAGGGACCGCCTCACCCCCTACCAACCCCAGAGATCCCTTCGTTCTGAGGATCAAGATCTATTGGAAATCTCCAGTGTCAAGACCTTGCGTCTAACAGCAACCAGACGCAGAGCCTTCACAGCAGTGGCACCATCACTCTGGAATACTCTGCCACCTGAAGTCCGTGCCTTGTGGGATTTATCAGCTTTCCGCAGGGCATGGAAGACATATCTATTTTGACGGGCCTTTGACTTCTGATTGTTTTTAAATTATTTTAAATTGTTTTTAAATTGTGTTAGATTTTAGCCTGTTCTTGTAAGCCACTCCGAGCCCCAGGGGAGTGGCAGCATATAAGTTCAAATAAATAAATAAATAAATAAATATACAATATATTATATTATTAGCATAGAACAGGAGACAAGGTGGAACTGTCCCCTGTCCCGTCCCCCCCTTTCACACTGGTCCAAAGCGGCAGTTGGTGCTGGGGAAGGGGTTCCCAACTGATGACATATGCAGGAGACAAGATGTACCTATTGATCTATTCACATTTGCATGTTTTTGAACTGAGGCTAACAGTGGGAGCTCACCCCACTCCCCAGATTCAAACCGCCGACCTTTTGGTCAGCAAGTTTAGCAGCTCAGCGGTTCAACCCACTGCATCACCAGAGGGCCCCCAGATGTGAGGACTTGAGGACCTCTACAAAGCTTACTCACTCACACCGAGGGCTTTCTTTTATCCCCACTTCATCTAACAATGGAAGGAGTTTCTCCAGGCCCTTCTGTGTGACTATGAATTATGGCACCCTCATAGATACCCTCATATAATCCAGTTAAAAGCAGAAAACCTGGGAACATATCCTGGGATATAGACCCTGATTGTTCAAGTGTTATACAGACAGTGATGAAGGTATAAAAGTAGTCTAAAAAATTTGGCCAGCCATCAAAGTCTTTCCATCTGCTTAACATGTGGCAATAGAGAAGAACCTTGAGAATTTTTGTATTGTATTTTGGAAAAAAAATAGAACTGGTCAGACAGTCTTAACACTTAACAAGAGATGAGTTCAAACTCTTTTGTTGTTTATTCATTCAGTCACTTCCGAAGCTCTTACATTTAAAAATTGAGTTATGAAAGTTTTGCTCTTTGTTGCCTTGGGATTGGGTTTTAATATGTGTCAAGAACTCAAAGAGCTGAAGTAGGAAAATTAAACCTAGGAGCCTCTCAATAAAATACTTAGGAAATAATTTCTTAAAAGGCAAATTGCAGATGTCATGTGATGTTTTGTCTTTCACTGCAGATCATTGAATACGAGAAAAACCAAACACTAGGACAAAATGACACTGGATTTAGTTGTGATGGTACAGCCAATACTTTCAGGGTTATGTTCAAAGAACCCATTGAGATTCTGCCCACCGTGTGCTATACTGCGTGTGCAACTTTAAAAGTGAGCCATTTTCATTTGATTTTTGTGTAAAGCTATATTTATACATCAGCAACGGTATTACTGATTTCAAGATATGTCTGCTGTATATATTTCTAACTGATAAGTTGTTGCTGTAGATGTGCTACAGCAGTGGTTCTCAACCTTCCTAATGCCGCAACCCCTTAATACGGTTCCTCATGTTGTGGTCACCCCTGCCCTAACCATAAAATTATTTTGTTGTTACTTCATAACTGTAATTTTGCTATTGTTATGTATTGTAATGTCAGTATCTGATATGAAGGGTGTATTTTCATTCACTGGACAAAATTTAGCACAAATACGCCCAAATTTGAATACTGGTAGGGTTTGGGGGGGGGGGGGTTGATTTTGTCATTTGGGAGTTGTAGTTGCTGGGATGTATAGTTAACCTACAATTAAAGAGCATTTTGAACTCCACCAACAATGGACTTGAACCAAACTTGGCACACAGAACTCCCATATGGGAAGAGTTTGGTAGGCATTGACCATGAGTTTTGGAGTTGTAGTTCACCTACTTTCAGAGAGCACTGTAGACTCAAGCAATGATGGATATGGACCAAACTTGGCATGAATACTCACCATGCCCAAATGTGAACACTGGTGTAGTTTGGGGGTACAGACCTTGATATTTGGGAGTTGTACTTGTTAGGATTTATCAAAGAGTATTCTGAACCCCACCAACAACAGAATTGGGCCAAACGTCCCACACTTCCCATGACCATGTTTTTTCTGATGGTCTTTGGCGACCCCTCTGACACCCCCTCGCGACCCCCACAGGGGTCCCAACCCTCAGGTTGAGGAACACTGTGCTACAGCTAGAGAGCACTCAAAGTTTGCTCATTTGTATGCAAAGTAATTGGAAGTATTTGCTGCAGTTTTCAATATTTATTCTACCACTTTTATTTTGATTTTATAGTCTGCTTTAGTACTGTTTAATTCTGTTTCTGTTATTTTTTAATTTTATGTGTTTTTTTAACAGACTATTTAAAGAACATGGGTTAATGGATGTGAATGAATTTTAGTACGGCAGTGGTTCTCAACCTGTGGGTCCCCAGATGTTTTGGCCTTAATTCCCAGAAATCCTAAGAGTTGGTAAATTGGCTGGGATTTTTAGGAGTTGTAGGACAAAACACTGGGGATCCACAGGTTAAGAACCACTGTGTTACGGTCTCAGACTAGGGTTAATTAATGTTTTATAAATACTGTCATTCACTCCAAATAACTTAATTTCTACTGTTTGTGTTTAGGGCCCAGATTCTCATTATGGCACCAAAGGACTAAAGAAAGTAATCCACGAATCTCCTGCTTCAAGCAAAACCTGCTTTTTCTTTTTTAGTTCGCCGGGTAACAACAACGGTACATCGATAGAAGATGGACAGATACCAGAAATAATATTTTATACGTAATTTCCAGTAACTGAAATAAAGAAAGAGATGAATTGACTTTGATAAGAAAGGACCAATGGGAGAAGCGGAATGCTGTGAATCTTGTAAATACAATGATCTCAGATGTGCTATCGAAACTAAAGTATTGTATGTGGATGGTACTAAAAAAGTATTCACTTTTCCAGTTGCAGGATGCAGCCAAACTATTCTTATCTGTACATAGATATTTACTTGATCACTTTAAATGTACTACCCTTGACTTGGAAGATGGAAGGGAGCATTCGTCTTTTCCTCCCTGAAATATCCTTGCTGCAGATGGTATGTCATCTGTGGATTAGAATGACTGTGTACTGGTAAACATGCATTTCCTTTTCTTTCTTTTTTTAAACAAAACACTAAATTTACAATGAAGTTATGAAGACAAGCAGACTTAAGATGGATACGAATTACATCTGTAATTGTACTTGATACAGTGTACATAAACCTAACCAGTTTTGTTGTGTACTGGAAAAAATGTTACTTGGAAAGAAACTGTATGAAGCTATTCTTGAAATATAAAGTGAAGAGTGGAAGAAATATTGCTGACTTCTGGGTGCTGTAGTGAAAACCCGATCTGAAATACTATAACTCAACTGGGTTGTTTTGAGTTTTCTGGACAAACAGACAGACAAAACACAAAGTTTGCAAGCTTGGTAGTTGATTAAATGTCTTTTGACCAGTATCTGGCCACTTAGAGTGCCTCTGGTGTTGCCGCAAGGAGGTCCTCCATTGTGCATGTGGCAGGGCTCAGGTTGCATTGCAGCAGGTGGTCAGTGGTTTGCTCTTCTCCACACTCGCATGTCGTGGATTCCACTTTGTAGCCCCATTTCTGAAGGTTGGCTCTGCATCTTGTGGTGCCAGAGCGCAGTCTGTTCAGTGCCTTCCAAGTCGCCCAGTCCTCTGTGTGCCCAGGGGGGAGTCTCTCATTTGGTATCAGCCATTGGTTGAGGTACTGGGTTTGAGCCTGCCACTTTTGGACTCTCGCTTGCTGAGGTGTTCCAGTGAGTGTCTCTGTAGATCTTAGAAAACTATGTCTTGATTTAAGTCGTTGACGTGCTGACAACAACCCAGTGATTCCAGCCATAAAAGTATTCAACAATATATAACTCAACTGGGTCAAAAGATCTGCCGAGGTTTATAGAGATTTTGGTGTGAGAGTCAAGATTCGAGGGCAGAGATTCAAAAAGCCCAAAGGACACATCGTTCTTCCATTTGTTGTTGAAGGCTTTCTTAGCTGGAACCACTGGGTTGCTGTGAGTTTTCTGGGCTGCATGGCCATGTTTCAGAAGCATTCTCTCCTGACATTTCACCTGCATCTATAGCAGGCATCCTCAAAGGTTGTGAGGTCTGTTGGAAAACAAACAAGTGGGGTTTATGTATCCATTAAATGTCCACATTTATATCTGTGTTAATTTGCTTTATTTATTTTATTTTACTACTGTATGTATTTTATTCTGATGTAATTTTTGTTGTCTGCATTCTTTATTTTATTTTGCTGTCTTGTCCCTTTGCGCTTGGCCTCAAGTTAGCCACCCCGAGTCCCCTTTGGGGAGATGGTGGCAGGGTATAAATAAAGATGATGATGATGATGATGATGATGATGATGATGATGATGATGATTGTCTGTGGAATCTCCCACCCTGGGCATTCCACAAATGCATAAACACCACTTGCCTAGTTTCCAACAGACCTCATAACCTCTGAGGGTGCCTGCCATAGATGTGGGTGAAACGTCAGGAGAGAATGCTTCTGGAACATGGCCATACAGCCCAGAAAACTCACAGCAACCCAAAAACTAATATACGAGGGTTGAATAAAAAGTAATACCTCCACCTTTGTAACGCCTCAACAAATGGGAGTAGTGATATGCGGCAGGTTCTGGCTTGTTCAGTAGACTCTCCTCTACAGTTCCATTTTGGCCCAGGAAAACTCACAGCAACCCATTCCCATCCTTATTTGTATTTATCATGGCATACGATTGCATTGTAGTATGAGGAGAATGGAAAAACACTCGTAGGGACTAATGTTTACAGTGGTCTTTTTGCTAATTGGGGATTTTGACCAAATCTCAATGAATAATGGGTCTGAAATAGACGTGGCTTCACTCACGGCAAGCTAGTATTGCCTTATCATGGTTCATCTACACTGTGGAATTGATGCAGATTCAGTCCACTACTGCATCATGTCCACAGTGTAGATGAACCACAATAAGGCAATACTAGCTTGCCATGAGTGATGCAGCTTCAATCCAATACTGGAGTCCCCAGTGACGCAGTGGATTAAATCCCTGTGCCTGCAGGACTGAAGACCGACAGGTCATAAGTTCGAATCCAGGGAGAGCGCGAATGAGCTCCCTCTATCAGCTCCAGCTCCCATGCAGGGACATGAGAAGCCTCCCACAAGGATGTTAAAACATCATAACATCTGGGCATCCCCTGGGTAACATACTTGCAGACAGCCAATTCTCTCACACCAGAAGCGACTTGCAGTTTCTCAAGTCGCTCCTGACACAACAAGAAAAGGCCAATACTATGGCTCAATACTATGGAATCATGGAAGTTGTCATTTTACAAGGTCTGCGGCCTCTGCCCGAGTGCAGGTACCTCATCAAACTGCAAATCCCAGGACTTAGGGCACATCTATACTAGAATTAATGAAATACGATCACACTTTAGCTGCCATGGCTCAAGGCTATGGATTCATGGAAGTGATCGTTTTTCATGGTCTTGAGTCTTCTCTCAAGACCCTTTCCACACAGCTGAATAAAATCCCACGTTATCCTCTGAATTGGAATTTATTTATTTATTTATAACATTTATATGCCACCCTTCTCACCCTGAAGGGGACTCAGAGTAGCTTACAAGATATATATACATACAATATGTTATTGACCTTCCCCAATGGCCATGGCAGCAATGGCTATGCTGGCCGAAGGACTTGGTAGGTGGTCTAAAAAAAGGGGGCTTTTCAGCATAAAGATCTCCAGTGATGTTTTTGAGCAGCGAGATGAGATCTGAATCAGGAAACCCTTTACTCACATGTTTCTTGTCTTCTTCCTTCAATCTGCAGATAAACCTTTATACACATTTTTACTCTTATACTAACTGTCCCCTGCCACGCATTGCTGTGGCTCAGTCTGGTGATCTGGAAAATGAAGGAATTACAAAGTGTTGATTTCTAATATATGTAATTTCTTTATGCTTGTGGGTCAACAGTATTTCTTGATGTTTCCTTGTCAGTGCTGATGTCAGGATTGTTTGGTTTGCCTACTCTGGAACATGCAACATATAACTGTCCTTCTTTAGGGGTCCCTTTCAAATCTATGATACTATATCTCTCTGTGTGTGAGTCGTATCTATCTCTATCTATGGCTGGATGGCTCTTTGTCAGGAGGGCTTTGATTACTTTTTTTGCCCTGGTGAAGGGAGTTGGACTGGATGACCTCGAGTATTTTCTGTTAATCATGGGGGTTTGGTGTGGGAAGTTTGCGCCAATTCTGTCATTGGTGAGGTTCAGAATGCTCTGATTGTAGGTGAACTATAAATACCAGTAACTACAACTCCCAAATGTCAAGGTATATTCCCCCCAAACTCCATCTGTGTTCATATTTGGGCATATTGAGTATTTCTTCCAAGTTGGATCCAGATCTATCATTGTTTTGAGTCCACAGTGCTCTCAGGATGTAGATGAACTACAACTCCCAAACTCAATGTCAATGCCCACCAAACCCTCCTAGTGTTTTCTGTTGGTCATGGGATTCCTGTGTGCCACGTTTGATTCAATTCCATCATTGGTGGAGTTCAGAATGCTCTTTGATTGTAGGTGAACTATAAATCCCAGCAACTACAACTCCCAAATGACAAAATCAATTTTCTTTTGAGTGATGGGCACTCCTTCGGTTAGTAGGTGTCTTGTGGCCAAGTTTGGTGGCAATTCGTCCAGTGAGTTAATTTCTAACCATATATTGAGGTGTTATGTGTACATATATGCATAACTATGTGGCTATGAAAGGAATTCAGAGAAACAGTCATTCCTTTTTGTATTTGTCTCTGCTATATAATATTGTAATATTATTAATAATATTACATAATATAATAATATTGTAATATTATTAGTAATATTACATGTAATATAAATCAATAATTATAATATATATGTATATTTCATAATATAATATTGTAATATTATTTGTAATATTACCGGGATTGTGGTGCAGCTGGCTGAGTGTCAGCTGCATTAAGATCACTCTAACCAAAAGGTCATGAGTTCGAAGCCAGCCCAGGTTGGAGTGGGTTTCTAACCAATTGTGTGTAGCCTGTTGTTGACCTTTGCAACCTGAAAGACAGTTGCATCTGTCAAGTAGGAAAATAAGGTACCACCTTAAAGTATGGGGAGGCTAAATTAACTGATTTATGAGGCCATAAAGAAGACTCCAGCAAAGCATTCCAGCGGGGAAGCATGCGGGGAATGCGGAAGTGCTTCATCAGCGTCGCAGATGGACGATGAAAGCGACAGCTCCCCTGGCGGCCAGAAAAGTTAAATAGCCTCTGACTGTCTGTCTATATCTGTTGTGTGTCATTTAATGTTTGCCATATATGTGTACATTGTAATCCGCCCTGAGTCCCCTGCGAGGTGAGAATGGCGGAATATAAATACTGTAAATAAATAAATAATATATATTTCATCTATATGGCAGTGTGGACTCAGATAACCCAGTTCAAAGCAGATATTGTGTATCATCTGCCTTGATATTTTGGGTAATATAGCTTTAAGAAGGGCCCAGATTACTTTGCACTCAATAAGCCTGGCTTTGTGTTTGGCCACGCCCACCAAGAAGCCGACCAATGACGGTGCCGAATGCAAATAGCAGCGGCTGGCCAAGGGAAACGGGGGCCTGTAACCTCGCGAGATCTCTTTAAGAGTTGTCTCCCTCTAGGAGAGAAGGCGCTTCGATGCTGAGTTTGGCCCTTCCTGCTTTCCGTCGTTGTTGTCATTCGGCGGTAGTGATGCCCCGGAAGGTCAGTCCTGGGCGGAAGGGAGGCAGGAAGGGAGGGAGGTCCCTGCAGCAGCCTGTCATTCTGCATATTTTGAAGTGGAATCTGTCAATGTTCCATTACTATTATCACTGTAACAACATTGACTCTCAATCAGGCATGGACAAACCACCATTCCTAGCAGTCTCAGGCCCTTTCCTTTTCATACTGAGGCATTTCTCCCACAGAGGTCTCTCTCACACTGAGGGCTCTCTCAGACTGATACCTCACTCAATTTGAGAGAGCCCTCAGTGTGAGAGAGGCTTCAGTCTGAGGGCTACTAAGTCTACATTCACATCTGCTTATACTGAACTGCTTAAGCGACTGAGGGGGAAAAGGAAAGGGCCTGAGGCTGTTAGGAATGGTGGGAGTTGGAGTCCAAAACACCTGGAGGGCCCAGGTTGGCCCATGTGTCATGAATGACTTTTCAATAGCTTTCAAGCATGTTTATTCGTTCAGTGGCTTCCGACTATTGTGACCTCATGGACCAGCCGTGGAGCCCCCGGTGGCGCAGGACTGAAGACCGACAGGTCGCAGGTTCAAATCCGGGGAGAGGCGGATGAGCTCCCTCTATCAGCTCCAGCTCCTCATGCGGGGACATGAGAGAAGCCTCCCACAAGGATGATAAAAACATCAAATCATCTGGGCGTCCCCTGGGCAACGTCCTTGCAGACGGCCAATTCTCTCACACCAGAAGCGACTTGCAGTTTCTCAAGTCGCTCCTGACACTACCAAAAAAAAAAAATGGACCAGCCCACGCCAGAGCTCCCTATCGGCCATCACCACACCCAGCTCCTTCAGAACCAAGCCAGTCACTTCAAGGATACCATCCATTCATCTTGCTCTTGGTCGGCCCCTCTTCCTTTTTTCTTACATTTTCCCAAGCATTGTCTTCTCTAGGTGACCTCATGGACCATCCCACGCCAGAGCTCCCTGTTGGCCGTCACCACCCCCAGCTCCTTCAAGGTCAATCCAGTCACTTCAAGGATGCCATCCATCCATCTTGCCCTTGGTCGCCCCTCTTCCTTTTTCCTTCCATTTTCTATGCATCGTTGTCTTCTCTAGGTGACCTCATGGACCATCCCACGCCAGAGTTCCCTGTCGGCCATCACCACCCCCAGCTCCTTCAGAGCCAAGCCAGTCACTTCAAGGATGCCATCCATCCATCTTGCCCTTGGTCGGCCCCTCTTCCTTTTTCCTTCCATTTTCCCGAGCATCATTCTCTTCTCTAGGTGACGTCATGAACCATCCCATGCCAGAGCTCCCTGTCGGCCTTCACCACCCCCACCCCCTTCAAAATCAAGCCAGTCACTTCAAGGATGCCATCCATTCATTTTGCCCTTGGTCAGCCCCTCTTCCTTTTTCCTTCCATTTTTCTGAGCATCATTGTCTTCTCTAGGTGACCTCATGGACCAGTCCACGCCAGAGCTCCCTGTCGGCCGTCACCACCCCCAGCTCCTTCAAGGTCAGTCCAGTCACTTCAAGGATGCCATCCATCCATCTTGCCCTTGGTCGGCCCCTCTTTCTTTTGCCTTCCACTTTCCCCAGCATAATTGTCTTCTCTAGGCTTTCCTGTCTCCTCATGATGTGGCCAAAGTACTTCAACTTTGTCTCTAGTATCTTTCCCTCCAGTGAGCAGTCGGGCTTTATTTCCTGGAAGATGGACTGGTTGGATCTTCTCGCAGTCCAAGGCACTCTCAGAACTTTCCGCCAGTTCAAAAAAGTAACTTTCTCAAGGACTCTTCCTGTCCAAGGGAAGGGTGGTGGAGTTTTTGTTGTTCATTCGTTCAGTCATTTCCGACTCTTCGTGACCTCATGGACCAGTCCACGCCAGAGCTCCCTGTCGGTTGTCACCACCCCCAGCTCCTTCAAAGTCAATCCAGTCACTTCAAGGATGCCATCCATCCATCTTGCCCTTGGTCGGCCCCTCTTCCTTTTTCCATCATTTCCCAGCATCATTGTCTTCTCTAAGCTTTCCTGTCTTCTCATGATGTGGCCAAAGTACTTCATCCTTGTTCTCTAGTATCCTTTCCTCCAATGAGCAGTTGGGCTTTATTTCCTGGAGGATGGACTGGTTGGATCTTCTCGCAGTCCAAGGCACTCTCAGCACTTTCCTCCAGCACCACAGTTCAAAAGCATCTCTCTTCCTTTGCTCAGCCTCCCTTCTGACCCAGCTCTCACATCCGTAGGTGACTACGGGGAATACCATTGCTTTGACTATGCGGATCTTCGTTGCCAGTGTGATGTCTCTACTCTTCACTATTTGATCACGATTGGTCATTGTTGTCCTCCCAAGAAGTAAGTGTCTCTTGATTTCCTGGCTGCAGTCTTCGTCTGCAGTCATCTTTGCACCTTGAAATACAAAGTCCGTCACTGCCTCCATGTTTTCTCCCTCTATTTGCTAGTTATCTGTCTTCTGTCTTCCCAAACAATATTTTTTCAGCGTTGTAGCAATGATAGAGAATTTGCAAATAGAGCCAAGACATCCAAATCAAGGAGGAAGGCAAAGGACCGAGGAAATATGAACCCAGTAAATAGAAGTGTCTTTGGGGACACACTGAAAATTTCAGGGAAGGGGGAGAACTCTTATCCGGAGGGCAAATGTCCTACTTTTGTTGGCCTCCTTCTTTCAAGCAACTCAAGGGAAAGGAGTTCTATGTACTCAGGGAGTGAAGTCCCTTTTCGACAGAAATGGGCCGGATCTACACTGCCATATTATCATCATCATTATTTAATTATTATATAATTATTTAATATTTTAATAATTATTAAATATTAATAATTTAATAATTATATTATAATAAAAAAAGCAAAATTGAAGAGAAACAACTGGAAAAGCTGACATGCTATGAAGATTTAAAGATCGAACTGCAAAGAGTCTGGCACAAGCCAGTCAAGTTGGTCCCAGTGGTGATCGGCACACTGGGTGCAGTGCCTAAAAACCTTGGGCTGCACTTAAACACAATCGGTGCTGACAAGATTACCATCTGCCAGCTGCAAAAGGTCACTTTACTGGGATCTGCATGCATTATTCACCGATACATCACACAGTCATAGACACTTGGGAAGTGTCCGACATGTGATCCAATACAACAGCCAGCAGAGTGTCTGCTGTGGACTGATCTTGTTGTGTTTCAAATAATAATAACAATAATAACAATAACAACAACTTTTTATTGTGACTTCTTACTGCCTGGGGGAATCCTTTGTTGGGAGTTGATTAGCTTGGTTGGCTCATGTGCCACGAATGACTTTTCAATGACTTTCAAGCATAGGTTCTTTTTTATTGCAATTTCCAGTGTGAGAGGATACATCAGACTACAGAAAACATTTAAACAAAGAATGACATTGGACATACAGATTCTATGCAACTACATTGGATTTAGAATTACATGGCTAACAAACAAACAAAGGGGAATTACATTTTCACTCAACATTCACACCACATATACACACATTCATCGTCAGGCATTCAAATATTACCATATCATTTTCTCCCTCCTTGGAGAAGCACCTGTTAGGCCAAACCCTGCTTTCCTGCAGCCTGCCAATGCACAGTTCCATAACACCAAAACTTCAAAACGCCAAAATGCCAAAACTTCTTTCCCTAAGAACAATGCCAAGGACCAGATCTCTGTTTTCCATACAGCAGAACCTGACTCCCTGCACAAAATCCAAGACTCCAAAAGCGCACTTCTTCCTCTTCCCTTGAGAAAGAAGCCCCAAAGTGACCAGACTGCTCCCGTGCAAATCTGCCACTATCCATAGGTTCACTATTTTTGTCCTTCCCATGGAGCACAGCATAGCGGGTGAACCAGACTCCTCAGGTCTGCCACACTTTGAGCATTATTAGACTGAGTCTTTCATAGGAATTTTCTGCTGATGTAGTCCCAAAGTTGTAAATTAATTATAGATGTCTTCCATATACACTAGTATCAAATACAAGTGTGGGCAAGACAAATTTTGAGCCTGAAATCAGTGGTGTGGCTTTTAAAAGTTTCTGTTCAGTTGTCTCTCATTATCGAAGTGATAACACTGATTTCTGTTTTTCCTTTAAGGGTAAGGCACAGAATAAGAACATAGCAAGCCCTTCTGTTCCTTCAGGCCCCGTGGCAAGCGATAAAAGCGGTTCTGTTACTATTGCTGTCCATGCCAAACCAGGATCTAAACAAAATGCTGTGACAGGTATGTTGGAAATAGACTGCACCGAGAGATATTTTTGAAATACTGAAGTGTGTTTGTTTGAAAATATGAGCTTATTTCTAGCAGAGACAGATTACTAGGTTTTCAGAATTAGCTGCCTCTTCCTAAATTGAGACGGTTAAAAAAAAAACAGGCTTTTTGTGCTGTCGCACGCTGGGCCTGTGCATCAGACTGTAGACAGGACATAAATTCTGTGTGCCCAACAGTACGCCGGGTCTGCCTCAGATTAAAGGCCCTTGGATTTCCTTAAAACACAGTCTCTAGAATGCTTAAAGGTTCAACAATGTTCTTTATTAATGAAAACAAACAAGTACTTTAAGGCTTTCTTAACCATTTATTGGCTCTCTCTCAATCTTGTCCACAGGGAACAGGCACTATCTTCATAACTGTAACTAATGGGGAAATCCTTAACTTCTAATCTGGGCAATCTGTCTTTGCCTCTGTTGGCATGGAGCCCCTACACCCGGTACCAACTGCTTCTGGCTTCCGCGAGTGACCCTTACCGAGCAGAGCTTTGTAGACTTCCAGGGAAAAAGGAGTTCAGGTTTCAGTGATGGCTGACTGAAGTCCCTCAGTAAAGGAGCTGTAAGGCTGTATGATCCTCGGCCAAGCTATAGAAGACGAAGCTTTCTACAGGAGCTCTTGGTATTATGTCCTGCATGGAAAGGTTCTCTGTGTGGACTGAACCCAAACTGGCTCCTATTCCCTCCAGAAACCCAAAAAGGAGTGGGACCAGGGAACCTAACGATAATTGACAGGTGGCTTGCCCTATGATTGCAGCCAAAAGAAGCCACCTATCTGCAGAGTCCCTGAAACTTAGGGCTACAATAAACATTCAGTGCAAAGCAAACAAAATTGGAGCTCCTGGTACAGCTGTACCTGCACACTTTTATTTAACTATTAATTCAGTGGATCTCAACCTGTGGGTGTTTTGGCCTACAACTTCCAGAAATCCCAGCCAGTTTACCAACTGTTAGAATTTCTGGAAGTTCAAGGCCAACACATCTGGGAACATACAGGTTGAAAACCACTGCTGACTAACTGGTTTTGATAGGTAGTCAAGAATGAGTGGACAAGCAAGGAGAAGAAAGAGATCTTTTCATTTCTATTCACTATTCCTCTTGCTTTCTTTGTTTCTTGCAGAGGAAAGGAAGGACCTTCATTCAGCTTTGTTCTGTGTCTGAGGGAGGCTAGTGTGCATTTCCACGCTTCTTGCAGAAGAGGGGGCTTCTGCTCTGTGATCATGTTAGACATGCAGACCACATTTTTTTTGTAAAGCTAGTAAAAAAAGCAATCTAGTATGTTTGAGGGCTTATTTACAGAGCTAATTTAGTAATACTATAGAGAGAGAGAGAGAGAGACTATATATGTGTGTGTCAATCTCCTTTATTTTATTTTGCTACTTTATGTATTTTTTATATTTATTCTGATGAAATTTTGTTGCCTGCATTTTGTATTTTATTTTGCTGTATTGTATCTTTGGCCTTGGCCTCATGTTAGCCACCCTGAGTTCCCTTTGGGGAGATGGTGATAGTGTACAAATAAAGTTTGCTATTATTATCATTATTATTATTATTATTATTATTATTATTATTATTATTGCTGGTACTGCTACTACTAAGTAGCCCTGCTCATCCATCTCTATCCTTTTTTATTCTAAGGCCATTACCATCCAAAAATTGGGGGGGGGGGGGGGGGCGGGGGGGGGGGGGGTCGTGAGGAGTGTCAGAAGGGGTCGCCAAAGACCATACCGGTCCACAAATTGGGGGGGGGGGGTGGGGACTAAAGCTATGCTATAAATATAATGTATATTTACTTTTTTCCCCCGTGTCAGGAGAAACTGCAAGTCGCTTCTTATGTGAGGGAATTGGCCATCTGCAAGGATGTTGCCCAGGGGATTCCTGGATGTTTTGATGTTTTGCCATCTTTGTGGGAGGTTTCTCTCATGTCCCTGCATGAGGAGCTGGAGCTGACAGAGGGAGCTCACCTGCATTCTCCCTGGATTTGAACCTTGGACCTGTCAGTCTTCAGTCCTGCCAGAACAGGGGATTTAACCTACTGGGGCTCCTGAGAGAAGCACTGCTTTTTGTACAATACCATCCACATCACAAATGTATATTAAAACATTTGGTCCTTAAAATCATTATAAAGCTATAGAACATGAACTAGAATTAAAATTTAATATAGTTTCAGCATAATGAGAAGAACTTTGCTTCAGACCAGAATGATCCTAACAGTCTCAACTGGAACTGTGGAGCCCCGGTGGTTAAACCCTTGGGCCAGCAGGAGTGCTGACCAACAAGTCAGCAGTTCGAATCTGGGGAGAGCTCCCTCTGTCAGCTGCAGCTCCCCATGCGGGGACATGGGAGAAGCCTCCCACAAGGATGGTAAAACTTCAAACATCCGGGCATCCCCTGGGCAACGTCCTTGCAGACGGCTAATTCTCTCACACCAGAAGCGACTTGCAGTTTCTCAAGTTGACCCTTACATGAAAAAAAAATCAGATCTGTATCTGACAGAAGGTCCCAGAGCAGAGCATTTGCTGAGAATGTGACTTTAGGTTTCATAAGCTGTAGAGAGATGTTACTGGAGCATGCTTTTCTCACCCTAGGGGAGAGAAAAGCGGTATAGAAATACTGTAAATAAATAAATAATGCACTTGAAGTTATGTAATGCAATATACTAATAATAATAAGAATAATATGATACTATAATTATATATTTATATTACATGTAATATTCTACTACTACTACTACTACTAGTAGTAGTAGTAGTAATTTTACTGATTAGCCCTTAGGCCATATCACAATAAGAAACAGAACAACAAGGCCTGACAAGACCTGATCACACTCCACGTAGAAAGTTAAAATAAGACACTTATAATAATACAGTAAATACATATGATAAGACATGATAAAACTGATAAACTGATCAAGCTGAGTATATACATCATATTTCATTATCACCCCTACAATTTACCCCAATCAGCCCTACATATGTGGTTCTCAGACGTATTGTTTTGCTTAAGTACAGAGCTGTTTTATATGTTATTTTTGGGTCTTGGCCACACATAAAATATGTTGTTCTGATGTGAGAATCCCAATACATTGTCCGTTTGATATATGGACCAAGGTGGAAGTCTCTCACCTTTTGATACAATTTGCAATCAAACAATATGTGTGCTATATCCTCAATTTCAGGTGCCCCGCAGATACAACTCCGTTCATTATAAGGGATGCTGTTAAATCTCCCGTATCTAACCATTGTCTCGAGCTGATCAAATCTGGCTCGAGTGAATACCTCCCTGAGATGTTTTTGGTCATTTGAGGAGCAGGAGACAGGGAGCCCACAACTTCTTATATAATTTGTCAGTTGTGTAATCCAAGAGGTCGGTAGTTGGGATTTTATCTGTTCTAGTAGGCACAATTTTGGGGGGTCTATCAGGCTCCATTACATTGATTTTACACCAGTAATTGTACTCTCTAAGTTTAGACTGTGCATTGATTGTGTAGATTATGTAGATTATTACTAATGATATTACAATATAATGGTGTAGTACAATATAGTAATATTTAATACTGATATTGTATATTTGTTGCAGATCTGAGTGCAGAGGCAGTGGGCATAGCCATTGCTGCACCTCCGTCCGACGGAGAGGCCAACGCAGAGCTGTGTCGCTACCTCTCAAAGGTCCTTGAAGTGAAGAAGAGTGAGGTTGTATTAGAGAAGGTACAGTGTTGATAGCTTGGTTTGCTGTTGGTAAACTCTGTCATACATTTTTGATATTTTTTTTCCCCTGCCGATCAATGGAGAGGGTCAGTTTGACACCTTCCAGAATACCAGTAGGAGTAGTAGCAATATACATTTTACCCAGCTGTATTTAATTAAAGGTAAAGGTAGTCCCCTGACATTAAGTCCAGTCATGTCTGACTCTGGGGTGTGGTGCTCATCTCCATTTCTAAGCCGAAGAGCCAGCGTTGTCCGTAGACACCTCCAAGGTCATGTGGCCGGCATGACTGCATGGAGCGCCGTTAATTAATTAATGTATTTAATTAGAAGAGTCTTATTCATTTGTCTTACAGATAGTTTATATTTAATTTGATTGATTGATTTGACTTGATTTTTTCCCCTCTTCTCCCAATATGTGACCCTAATTCCTGTCTAAATTTGGGAATGGAAGGAGAGAGTCAGTGAGAGAGTTAATCTCAGTCACCCTCTGCACCAGGGGTCCTCAACTAAGGGCCGGGGGCCAAATACGGCCCTTCCAAGGTCATTTACCCGGCCCTCACTCAGGGTCAACCTAAGTCTGAAATGACTTGAAAGCACAAACAACAACAACAACAATCCTATCTCATCAGCCAAAAGCAGGCCCACACTTCCCATTGAAATACTAATAAGTTTATATTTGTTAAAATTGTTCTTCATTTTAATTATTGTGTTGTTTTTAAGTGTTTTTTGTACTACAAATAAGATGTGTGCAGTGTGCATAGGAATTCATTCATTTTTTTTTCCAAATTATAATCCGGCCCTCCAACAGTTTGAGGGACTGTGACCTGGCCCTCTGTTTAAAAAGTTTGAGGACCCCTTCTCTACACTATCATATAATCCAGATTATCAAAGCAGATCAGATAATATAATGTAATATAATATATTGTATATACATATAATTATTATTATGTAATAATGTATTACAATATAATACTAATACTCATAATATGAAATTATAATTATATATTTTATACTACATGTAATATTACTAATAATATTACAATATAATGGTACAGTACAATATAGTAATAATACTGATATTGTACTATAACACTGTACCTTCTCTAATACAATATAGTAATAATACTGATATTGTACTATGCTAATAATATAGTGTGTGTGTGTGTGTGTGTGTGTATATATATATATATATATATATATTGTAAGCCACTCTGAGTCCCCTTTGGGGTAAGAAGGGCTGCATATAAATGTAGTAAATAATAGTAATTTATTTGTTTTTGTTTTTATTTATTTGTCGTGTCAGGACAACCAGTCAAATTATATTACATTTCTAACAGAACAAAGCAAACAAACAGACAAAATACAACATTTGTGAAGTTTGGCAGTTGATTAAATGTCCTTTGACCATTATCTGGCCACTTGGAGTGCTTCTGGTGTTGCTGCAAGAAGTTCCTCCCTTGTGCATGTGGCAGGGCTCAGGCTGCATTGCAGCAGGTGGTCAGTGGTTTGCTCTTCTCCACACTCGCATGTCGAGGATTCCACTTTGTAGCCCCATTTCTGAAGGTTGGCTCTGCATCTCGTAGTGCCAGAGCGCAGTCTGTTCAACACCTTCCAAGTCGGCCAGTCCTCTGTGTGCCCAGGGGGGAGTCTCTCATCTGGTATCAGCCATTGGTTGAGGTGCTGGGTTTGAGCCTGCCACTTTTGGACTCTCGCTTGCTGAGGTGTTCCAGCCACAGAAGCGACCAGAATAATAGTAATAATAATAATCATCATCATCATCCATGATACTTGATGGAAGAATGGCAAAGCAGCTGGTTCAATGTTTACAAAGCTCAGTTGGTGCTAGACTTTTGAGATGTTTTAATCATTTGAAAGACTATTTTAATTGAGATGTATATGTTTTTTACATTTTTATAATATTGTGTTTTACTGATATTGTTATTGTCTGAATCTGGCATTGAATTATTGCCGTAGTTTGTAAGCCGCCTTGAGTCGCCCTTTGGGAATGAGAAGGGCGGAGTATAAGTACAGGAAGTAAATAAATAAATAAACAAATCTGCTTTGAACTGGATTATACAAGCCTACACTGAAATATGATCCAATTGAGATAATCTGGATTTTATATGGCAGTGTAGATAGGGCTTCAGTTATTCAGAGGAGCGGAGACTGCCATAAGGTCACCTTTTATGAACATAGGTCTCGGTTGCCTTGTGTCAATGTTCTAACCACTACTACATAATAATATTACAATATAATGGTGTAGTACAATATAATAATATACAATACTGATATTGTACTATGCTAATAATGTAATATATTGTATGTATATATGTCTTGTAAGCCGCTCTGAGTCTCCTTCGGGGTGAGATGGGCGGCATGTAAATGTCGTAAATAAATAAATAATAAATACATAAAGTCTGATCCAACTACATTTATTTATTTATTTATTTATTTATTTATCGTGTCAGTGCAACCAGTTGATTATATTACATTTCTAACAGAACAAAGCAAAAAAACCAGACAAAACACAAAAATTGTGAGTTTGGTAGTTGATTAAATGTCCTTTGACCAGTATCTGGCCACTTGGAGTGCTTCTGGTGTTGCTGCAAGAAGGTCCTCCATTGTGCATGTGGCAGGGCTCAGGTTGCATTGCAGCAGGTGGTCAGTGGTTTGCTCTTCTCCACACTCGCATGTCATGGATTCCACTTTGTAGCCCCATTTCTTAAGGTTGGCTCTGCATCTCGTGGTGCCAGAGCGCAGTCTGTTCAGCGCCTTCCAAGTCGCCCAGTCCTCTGTGTGCCCAGGGGAGTCTCTCATTTGGTATCAGCCATTGGTTGAGGTTCTGGGTTTGAGCCTGCCACTTTTGGACTCTCGCTTGCTGAGGTGTTCCAACAAGTGTCTCTGTAGATCTTAGAAAACTATTTCTTGATTTAAGTCGTTGACGTGCTGGCTGATACCCAAACAGGGGATGAGCTGGAGATGTCTCTGCCTTGGTCCTTTCACTATTGGCTGCTACTTCCCGGCGGATGTCAGGTGGTGCAATACCAGCTAAGCAGTGTCATGTCTCCAGTGGTGTAGGGCGCAGACACTCCATATCTCATGAAGAGCCACATCCACTGTTTTAGTGTGGTGAGATGTGTTCCACACTGGGCATGCATACTCAGCAGCAGAGTAGCACAGCGCAAGGGCAGATGTCTTCACTGTGTCTGGTTGTGATCCCCAGGTTGTGCCAGTCAGCTTTCGTATGATATTGTTTCTAGCACCCACTTTTTGCTTGATGTTCAGGCAATGCTTCTTGTAGGTAAGAGCACGGTCCAGAGTGACTCCCAGGTAACTATGTCACGAATAATATGTTTTCAGAAATACCCATTATCAGGACATCTTGATAGGAAAAATCCTCTTCTCTCTTGATACAGGGTGGCAGATCTCGAGAAAAAATAGTGAAGATTCTGGCACCATTGACACCCGAGGAAGTTTTACAGAAACTGAGAAAAGAAGTTGAAGCAAAATAAATGAAAAAAGTCTTAGCAAACATTTTTACCGGGAGTAAAGAAAAATGTCGGTGTTACACAGGAATACAGAAAAAAAATATGGCAGAAAACCTGTATTTCTGTAGACAGCTGCAAAGATTGATTTTATGCACCACTAAAGATGTGGATTCCGGCATATCGCGAAGCAAGGTATAAATGCCATAATGGCATTTAAGAATATCTTCAAGAGATTGGGACTCAAAAGCTACTTTTATCTATTGAAATAAAAATGGCTTCATATATTGTATTTTACCTAACAACTCCATTCCAGCAACCTTTCTTTGTGGGTTGTTGTAGGTTTTTTCGGGCTATATGGCCATGTTCTAGAAGCATTCTCTGCTGATGTTTTGACTGCACCTACTGTGCTGGTAGAGCTGTACCAGAAGCTCCCACTTTATTTGCTTTGTATTAAATGTTTGCTTTCAATCCTCGGCTTGGTATTCTGCAGCAGGGTGGCTTCCTGTTAAAGTTTGCAGTTATAGGGCAGACCACCTGTTCATCATCATTAGGTTCTCTAGTCCCACCCCCTTTTTGGGTTTAGAGAAGGGAAGGGAGCCATTTTTAGTCAGTCTCTGCAAGAATAGCTAATGTACAGGATGTGTCCAGGTCTCCTGTGCAAAAGCTTCAACCCTTAAAACTTCCCGGGAGAGAACAGTCTTAAGAGCATCTAAAGATTCCCAAAGGTTCCAGGGAAACAGCCTTACAGCCCTGAGGAATTTCAGAAGGAATAACAGCTTTAAACATCAAGAACTCCAGCTAAGTGACTCCAGGCCTACTGGCAGGTCCACTCGGTTTTGAGACGCAATTCAGCCCGGTAGTGGAGCCACATCAGTTAGGTTTAGGTTCACAGTTAGCCTGGGAGGAGCTAGAAAGGGATTTTCCTTTGAAGTAAAGCAAAGAAACAGTTAGAAGCCACCAGTTGCTTGAAGCCTGGAAGCATTTGTTTGACCTTTGAAGACAAAAGAAGTTCCTGTTTGATTGTTCACCAATAAAAGACTTTGTTGTATTTAAGCTCAAGCCCTCTAAAGACTGTTTATGGGGGGGAAATCTCTAAAAGCTTCTCTTCAGGCCCCCTGGCTTCCCGTTGGGCTCAAGTTGCACATCCTGTCTTAAAAGCACTTCATTTTAAGCCCAGCGGCGACAGAACATTTACTGTAAGCATCCTCAGAGGATGCTTGCCTTAGATGCAGGAGAAACGTCAGGAGAGAATGCTTCTAGAACATGGCCATATAGCCCGAAAAACCTACAACAACCCAGTGATTCCAGCCATGAAAACCTTTCTTTCACTGCAGCATTGTGCATATTTTCTAGCATTGTGCATATTTTGCAAGGGCTTTTGTCATATCCCTTATAACCAGGAGCCCGGCTTGTCTTGCTATTTAGAACAGGTATGGGCTGTTATGATGCCTTGCAGCATTTGCCCTTTAACAGAGTGCACTTTTGATGCTTCGAATGCTTCTGATAGCTCAGAGTCCCAAGTATATTCCAGGTCTTAGCAGCACAAGATGCTCAAGGGCAGCATTTCTCAACCTGGGGGTCGGGACCTCTGAGGGCAGGCATGT